TATACTACTATCCATCAATTTTAACATTTGAGTTAATAATTACTGAAGGCAAGTTTCATGAGGAAAAGATAAATTGTTTTTAACAGAGAAAGGCATATGATTTTTATTCTTTCTACAGCACTTTAACCAATTCTATAGTAACACTGAATAAACTAAATGAAGTTCATCATCAGGCCTATTAGGATTAAGTGCAAAGACTAATTGATCAAAGTGTTTTCTTTAGAGACATGATGTCTTGTTAAAGCTAAAAATGTTCAACATTTGATTAATGGGCGACCTTCTGCGTGATGTATTACTCTCCTGTTGCCATGTCTCACTTGTTTTTATTAACATGTTATTTTCTGGAAACTGCCAATTTTCGATTGACAGTGATGGATCTGTTTGAAATGCATCATGACCTTTCGCCAGGAGTTAGTTTAGAAGAACATATTTGGAATCAATCATGTGAGTTTGAGTATCATCATAAACATTTGTTGCAGTAAACTACAATTGGATAGGTATGTTCTATGTTGTATTTGTTTACTTTACTAGTAGAAGTTGCGCTTTTTTGATGCTCCAGAGCCAATACATCTCTGTCTCGGTAGATTTTGCAAAGTGCATTCCTTTGGTCTAAATTGGATAGAGATTTGGCATTAGCAGCTTAATCTCACAGTGCCTTATTTATGTTTCTAAGATACTTTATTTTTGAACCAATTTTGATACCTCTTTCACCACACTTACTTCAAAGTGAAAATCTAGATATACCATTAGGACTATTCTTTTTATATCAGAGCATATTTTCTCTCGTATAAGACTTTTTTTTTCCTAAAAAGTAAGGTTTTTCCAAAAGTATGAACAGGTCTTACAATCTTGCCTTCTTTCTGTGTCCTATTGCATTTGCCTTTTAATATCTTTATAAATAGACCATCTGTCAATAAATTCAGTAAAACTATTCTCTCCTAGAAGATAACTTTTAGCATTCTATTTAGCATAGAGTGGGAAAAAAATCTATTCTTTCTTTGATAGTTTGTGAATGTGTTTGTTTACAACATTTGTATTCTTCACTGAACTTTGATATGACAGCTACATAACAAGCTGCCTTTGCCAAAAGGATTGATCCTGTCTCCAGTCATTACGTGCTAATGAATTTACTTTATATGTTTACAAAGTCTTTACACACGCACACACATTTATAATATACATACATGCATACCTATGTATATGCAAGTGAATGCAGGTAAGATTCTAATGCAAACAACAGATCTATGTGTACGGCATTACAGAAGAAAGTACTTATTTCCTGCATTTGAGTTCAGGAAAACTATACTGTGCACTCAGGTTTAATATTTTCTGTGCATTTTAAGTGTGAATAAATCTATTATGAATTTGTTAATTAAATACATCCATAACATCATCTTTAACGTTATTGTCATTGGGCATACATCTTGTTCATCGGTTGGCTATATTGATATCAGAGTATTTTTATTTCTAGTGTGTGATAGTGTGTGATTTATAATCCAGAGCTTAGGGATTTTGTTGCTTTATATTATAATTTATTTCCTTTAACATAAGAGGAAGTCTTTCCATTAGGCTTTCATTTATAAGGTGCTCATTTCATTTATAAGGTGTAAGGTCAAAATGTTTTGTTTCAATAATGCCTGCAAAGTGGTGAGAATGAAAAATCATGTGTTTTTCTTTAGGCAAAGAGCATAGCTGTCCTGAATGAATGTTCTATAGACATTGTTTCAGAAAACAGCCTTCCAAAGCATGTGTTGTTCATGCATTTGCATCATTAAAATGTTACATGTACTGTTTTTCATGGGTGCTGCATGTCAGTTTTGTCAGCTTGTTTTTGTCTTAGATTTGTATAAGGTGAAAATGAAGGGTCTATGAAGGAGGTTATAAGGTTGTAGCCTCATGTTGTATGCTAGATGAAAGTCATACAATTCAATTAAATAAGTAATATATGCTAAATATTTGGACTAAGTTGCTTTTGTTTATATATGTGGAATTTTGTAAGGGTTACTTTCATGCAGGATTAGTGTATTTGAGGGGAAAAGAACAGCTGTTAACATTGTTGTATGACATTATTGCTTATTTGTAATTTGGCACCTTACTGTATTAGGTGAAGTTACAGTGACCTGTGAGAACAAGTGGCAGTTTGTCCTTCTGAGGCAGTAGGTACAAAGTCTGAAACACTGGGAGATGTCCTGTACCTTGGAACCACTCAAGGCTGAAATAGCCAAGCCAACGAAGTCAGACTTTACCTGTATGCACACAACAAAATATTTCGGTAAATGCTGAAAGTACTTAGGACACATTCCATGGCCTTATGGCATTCCTTAGCTTGTCTTCCCCAAAAGTAATGAAAATTTGCATATATTCTTGTCATTGTTACGTTACATTTTTGTCATTGTCACAGTGTCTTGTCTCTCTTAAGTTCCTGCTTTTTAAAAAAAAGGCAGGGGCAGGAGCGATAGCACTGCTTTCAGGTGAGTATCTCGCAGATACCTCTTACACCGAAACTGAGACTACACTTTTCAAGGTCACTGAATAAGTGAGACTGATGGGTTTTTTATACGCTATTTGAAAAGAAGCTAGTTACGTTGCTTTTTTTCTAGCTTGTCTGAGGCTTCGCCTGCACTAGGTTTCTTCCAGAATAACAAATGCCCAGGAGATGTTTTGCTTGTCATACTGTCTATGAACAGTTCCATAACCAAAACAAACTTTATCTGCAAAATTACTTTTTCTGCATGAACATGTATAGCAGGACTTTTCTAGTACAGTTGCATTAATCACATATGAGGCATTCAGATTTATGCCTGCCAAATTTAAATGCAAACCAGTTGAGGAGAAATCCACATTGCTTATAAAATATGCAGCCACAATCTAAAAGGGCCATGACTTTTTTTGATGCCGTACAAAAGTTTGAATGTGAGGATTTTTGACAGTGAGACTTTCTCCTTTGCAGAGTAATAGTACAAACACAGCTAACCTAAATTTTAAAAATAAAAATTTGTCCCTAAACCTTTCTTAGTCATCTAGAATGCCACTTCTATCACTGTAGAATACAATCAAAAAGCAAGTATCTGCCAGAAAATAGTTATTAAATGAATACATTTATGTGCAAAACAGCATACAGAAATGTAACTGAGGATTGTTAAAGAAACTTGTCTCGTGTTGGCTTGCCTATTAACAATTTTTAATTTCAGGCTCCATAGGCTGGCTATTAGCAAGGTTGCAACTCTTTTATAAGTTGCATTAAGTGCTATTTTAGGAAGAAGTTCTCCTTAGGTCTTACTCAGAGCTAGTCTAAATTAAAATAATATTCTGTTGATCTCTTTTCCATAATACACAGCTTTAAGAAATACAAGAAGGGTCATAAACAGAAAAGTTCAGAAATTCTTGCTCCAAGATTTTGTAATATTCTGTAATTATAACTTAGTTTATCTGTTCAGTCTTTCCGGATGTAATAGCAAACACTTAGGTATTTGCAAAACCAACTTTTAAGTTTTAAAATGTATAAATTTGTAAGGTTGCATGATCTAGATAATGCAATGTAACGGGAAAAACTAAATATCTGGCAGAGGAAAGAGTACTTTTAAGCCTTTTTTTTTTTTTTATGGCTGTTAAAAATGGGATGAGACAGAGTCTTGGTGAAATTTGAGCTACAAACTAGCTAAGTGATAATTCAGACCTAATGTCCTCTCTTTGGCTTCAAATGATGAAATGTTGGCATTTGAATGTTTCATTCCTTAGCTTTAGCTTCTGTTAAGACCCTAACAAGGGAAATTGATATTTTAATGACTGAATGGGAGAAAGCTAAGAGTAAGTATTTATTAACTTAATTTAACCAATTTTATGTGTACACAAGAAAGCTCAGAAAACCTGATTTTAAATAAAAAGGGACTAAGGCATTTTCTAGAAAATATACACTTTAGCACTATTAGCTTCCCTTCTGTTTTATTTGCTTTCTTGGAATGAGCTGGTAGCCTGTTTAAAAAACAAAAACAACCCCCCCCAACTATTTTAAAAGGAGACAGAGACTGTACACATGACTACATTTTTTGATAAGGTACAAGGAATTATGCAAGCTCCAGTGCCTTTTTTTTTTTTGAGCACAAAATGTTACAAGTTCATCTTCTAGATGTTTCAAATTAAGCAGAATAGCCATTTTGACTTTAGTTTTGACCTGTGTTTTACAAGCTTCTCTGCAATAAATTTAAAAGGTGAAAATGTTCTCAGACTTCAAAACAGGGAAGAAATGTTCAATAGCTTGGCTAGCAATACTTGGCTAAGAGAGGAGTTGTTCAGTTTTACTGGACTTAGCAAGGGTAACCACGGCTACTGCACTGCTATGGTGACTTGTTGTCTAAACAGAAAATGTTTCTGCACTATATCAAAATGGGCCTGCATATGCACTAATTTTAGTGTGATTTTAGGGCATAACAAAATTGTCTTAATCATGAGTGCTATAAAGCAGTATTCCTAGGAATCTTTAATTGTAGTTAAATGGATATTGGTTTTTTTAGCTTGCATTTGACAACAGTTCTGTTGGTAAGAGCTTCCATCCATAAATAAAAGGTTAGATTTGTTTTCTAGGGTCCGCTGCCACTCAGTGTTGCTTCTTTTTTTTCTTCAACTTTATCATCTACTATCAAGGAGAAATAGCTCATGGTTACTAAACAACCGATACCGTTTCTTACTTTGCAAACTGGGATTATTCAGTGATGTAACCTTCTTTTTCAACCCCCAACTTCCAAAATTATACTTACAGCATTCTCATTTTTATTCTTTGCTTTTGTGAATGTAGAGATAGTAGCAACAAAGTTTTGCAGCTGACTTGCCTTTTTTTAATGGATTCCTTTCTCGAATACATTTGTTAAGCAGGTCACAACAAAGGAAGCATTTCCTCTTATGGAGATGCAAAGCAAAATCATGATAAGCTTCTGTTTATCAAACGGTAAGATTTACCAGGAATTAGGCCTAAAGAAAACAAACAAAAATTTTGGAAACTGCTAAATTAGTAGTTAGTGGGAATACTAATTAAAGGATTTTATTCAGGGGCCTTCAAGGGAGGATGCTCAAGAATGCCAGCAAGAAAAAAATACGGTTTTTGAGGGTAGAATTTCAAAATCACTAATAAGTCTTTTACAAATATACTGTAAAAGAGTTTTAATTTTAAACCATCGTTCCCAACTGCTCCAGCTTCCTCTTGATAGCAGTAGTTCAACTGAATTATAATTCTGGAAACTTAGGAGGCATGCAAGTACATGCAGAATCTTACAGAACTTGATTAGCAATAACAAATAAATTTCCGACTGTACATTCAGTGAAATAGTTCTGTTTGGTCTCTCTTCAGTAACAGAAACAGTGAGGTTAAAATTTCAATTACATGCAGAAAGATCTCCAAAGTGATTTAAAGCCCCAGAGTTTGCTCAGCGACATTGGCACATCATGACTAAACTTGACATTGGTGCATTTCAGCCCTGCTAAAAAAAGGCAACGTAATTTTAATTTGAATTACTTGCTTAGAGCTGCTCAGTCCCCAGGAGCATCTGTGTTTTTCCTCAGTGGGACATGCATGTTCTATCAGCTATCTTCTACCAAGCGTCCTCTAGGATGAACGAAATGTTACAAGGCTCTGCAGTATCAGGAATGTGCAACAGCACTGGAGGTCCATGTCTCACATACCCAGAGTATCATTTGACACTGAATTAAGTAAAATTTTACTGCTTCTTCGAAACTTTTTTCCTCATTACTTTTTTGTTTGCATTATTCTGTAATTCTCCATTCAGCTTTCACCTTTTTTTATACTTTTATTCTGGTAGTGTCTTTTTTTTCTACACTCATACAAACTGATGTCTGTCGTCTTGTTCATTTACTTGCCTTCAGAAATGCTGCTTCAATATTGCTGTAATTCATAAATCTGTATTGAGCTCAACATTGAGTTCTTTGCAAGACTGGCTGCACTGGAGCCTTGTCCAATACTTAATATCCAGGTGCTTGTATCAAAGCATTTCGTTTTGGTCTTAGACCTGAGGCATCATCACGCCAGACATGCAGAAAAAACACAAAGCAACAGGTTGGCAGCTCTTGCAAGTTGTCATTCCCATTTTTGTTTTGTGTATGTGTGCATACATAGAGAGAAACAGATTAAAAAGACATTAAATTTAGATACAATACAGTCATAATCAGTAGTTTGTATATAATATTCCCAGCCCTGGGAATAAGGAAATTTTCAAAGCATTTTGTATGTATAACAACATTCTTGGAATCTTAAGCACAGGTAGCAGAAGCTGCAAGAAAACTTTCTTGTAGAATTTATATCTCATGGCCTTTATTTTACATTTAACGTACTGGAGTAATACAATTGTATGAAACAAGTTTTCAGAGCCTGTATTAATTCATATCCATACACAATCATTTATATCAGGATTCTATAACAGTTGCAACAGTATCGAATAGTAACAGTGATTACTCATGTTTCCTACTTTCCCCTACATTTCCTTGAACAACCAAAACCTACTATCTAGGTCTTCTGGTTGCAAAGATGCACTTTGTTCCTGCTTCATGCTGCCTTATTCAGACGGTAGGGTAAGATCTGCCAGTCTTGCCACAGTGAATCTAGGTGTGATTTAAGTTACTGTCTTTTCTAGCTCTCCGAAAGCCGTGGGTGAGGCTGGTGATTGCAGTTCTTATCAATGATTTGGGCTTACTAGGAATATCTACAGGAGCCTTCTTTACTTGCATACAAATGGAGAACGCTTAGTTTAAACCATGAATGAAGATGTGCTTAAATGAACCTATGCCAACTGGATAGGCGCGCTTAGATGATCTATTACAGTCCAAGCAGTACACATTTTTTCAATTTGATTGTTTATTTCTCAGATTTTTATTGTAAGGTATTTGTTTGATTACTCGGGAATGAAGTCAGATGCTTAAATAAGAGAGAGTCTCTATAAAACAATACAAAATGGAGACACAACTATCAATTGTTTTGAAAAAAACCATTTTTTAAAACCTGTGAATATTAAGAGTTGGAAAAAGCTATGGCCTTTAAAGATAAATATATTTGTGTTAAACTATTATAGGATTCTAATTGTTAAAGTATATGCAATCTGTTTGTTTCATTTGTTACAGATGCATTCCATACATCATGAAGTGTATCAATCCACCTTTTTTGTAACTTGCAGAAAGTCATACTGTATTTATAATGCTTGCTGTCTGAAAGTACATTCTGAGATTCTAATGTCCAAATTATTATTTCACTGACTCTTCTGAACTTTCATTACAACCACTACTTGGAGATGAGACACTCCAAATATAGAGATAGCAGGTATGTAAACATTCAGATCACCTTCAGCTCTACCACAACAGCAAAAATCTAGAAACACATCAAGAAAAGTGTCCTGCCTGTGCCAAAAATGAAAAAAGTAGCAATTTGGAGGCATGTTCCATTGCAAATCTTGGTGACAAGGTACTGTCTATAAAGGTAGTCTTCAAGACAGTGAGGCTGTTGCAAACCATGCCCTGATTTGTAGCAATAAATTTGCCATATTCTACCTCATATAACTACTACAGTGAAGTGTTTTGTTTGTTTTGTTTTGTTTTTTAATACTAGGAAATGTATTATATTGCACATCACTGGCTGATGGAATTCATAATCAGGTTTTTCTTCTCTGTAATATTTGCCTGACAGGAATGTAGTGTAGTAGTAGTGAATGATGTAATATTAAGTGCTTTCAAATTTTTTCACAAAACGTTACTAAAATGTTAGTGGGTTGGGGGGGGGGGGGGTTGGTTCCCCCCCCCCCCCCAGCCACTTCACTTTCCCATGGATCCCTGAAATATTTCAAGTAGGCTGAATATCACAGGTGTTGTTACCCCAAATAGAGGAATTTCAACTCCTGTCCAACAGGAATCTCTGACTTCCCTCATTATCAGCTTTGCTGATAACTTACAACATTACAAAGACGCACATGAGCGTGCGCACATACAGAGGATCTACTGCACTGGGTAATGTGAGCCTGCATGTTGTCAGTATCTGTCTCTATGAAAATGACCCTGCAAAGAAAGCTAAGCCCATCCCTATTTCTATATATAAAACTGTTTGTTTAATTGGTGGACTTCACCAAGAATAAATAATGAGGTAATTCTTAAGATCATTCCCAGAACAGTCAGCTACAATTGTTTCTGCAAGTCAGAGGCATCTCCTCTCCTTGTTTTTGGAAATGGTTTCACTGCCTGAAGGTGAATAGCCTTTTGTCTAAATGCAATTTTAGGAACAGTACAGTATTTCAGGAGTGAAACATTCTGTACATAAGTGGGTTTTTGCAGTGTTTGTTTACTGACTGTTAAAATTCTTAAAAGCTTAAATCCTAAAGCAGGATTAATCGGATTGGAGATGAAGTTTCTTCCATGCAGAAAAGAAAAGGAAAAAAAAAAAAAACTTTCAGGTATTCTCATGGAAAACTACCATCAGATTTTTCCCAAGGTATTGTACAGATCTTGTTTACCTTGAGCAATGAGTTTAAATTAGGAACTTAACTAGAAATCTTATCTTGGAATAATTTAAGCAAAAAAAAAAAATGTATGCAGGTACAGTAACTCCTTTTCAACATTCTTTTATTTCTTTATTCTTTGGCTGTAATTTTGAAGGCTTGATAATAAAATATCTTTCCTTTCTGTTTCACTCCTATTATATTTTGCTGACATATCTGAAGTATACCTGGCTCTTCTATGTTTTAGGCTGTGCACTAACAAAACACATGAGATAAGTAGCAGCATATAAGTTCAGAGTCAAGTAATTCTACTGCACAGTAATGGGGTAAGCTTGCTCAAAACCTTAGTGTTTTGGTAATTTCTTATATGAATACTAATCCTCTAATATACTGATACCTTTAAGATGCAAATAATTTTTTTTTAATGACTACGGACATAAGTTGAACTCATGTAACTTGACCCATTTGTGACTGAAAGAATTCAACTTCTAGTCAAATACCAAAAAATCTCTGAAGAGTGCCTGTTTGCTAGATGATAAAATCAAGATATTAATTCTGTCATGCCCTTGGTGATGTATTTATTCTGTCTCACAGATGGGGAACCAGAAGAACTAGAGGCCAAGGCATACGCCCATCTGACAAAGAAAGTCTGTGATGAAGCCTGAAGTTGAAACTAGACACTGACTCGTATGTTGGCTTATACCTTAGAAGTCTATCTTTTGTATCCCTCCATATGGTTCTTTGCTTCTGAGATGCTGTTTTTTATTACTAATTTAAGGTAGAAATCTTAACTTCATTAAGTGTCCCGTGATACTTTTTGGACCAGTGTACACTGAAGAGTTTCACTTGACTGCTGGGGCTGATATGTCCATTCACCAAGCCTTGGCCACATGAAGAGGCATCCGCCCCCCCCCTGAATAGCTTTGGGAGCCAGTATGATATTTGTCCTATGGCACTGCTAATCCACTGATAAAAACTTTCTAGAAATTAGTCTCATTTTTCCTTCTTGGTAAAAGAGAGGAAAGACGGGGATTAAGCGGTAGAACGGAGTCGAGTTACAATTTTGCTTCTAGACTTCCACAGTTCAAGTCCTAGTTCAAAAAGTGAGTTTCAAACAGTACAGAGAAATTCAAGCTGGTGGGCAGGATCCAGCTCAGACCTAGAAAATCTGGATTTCTGAGCAACCGTAGTTAGCATAACCTTAACCATAAGCATACAGACAGCTTAAACTGGCCGATTCCAAAAGTACTGGGGCCAAATTTTTCGGTTATGACCTGTTTTTATTCATCTAAAATGCTGATGGGAACTTCATTTGCTATTGTGTGTTGAGAAATAATGAATAAATAGAAAGGAGTATGAGCACACAGGCTTGGCCTAGGGAGGAAGCGAGAATGTAACCATTATTTCAATTTTCAAATGCCCTGTTTCGTTATAAGGTACACTTTTAGTGCTGACATGGGGATTTTGGTATATGGTGCCTCATGCCCCCCATGCCTGTCCACCATGACTACTCACTTTTTTCTCTTCTTACTTTAACACTTTGTTTTAGCTCTTTGTATTTGAGAATACATAAAAACCTATACTTCCTGCACTAGCTATCTGTGAGGGTGTCTCATTTCACCTCACAAACTAGAATGTTTACTGGTAGCGACACCAGAGGTCAATCTCAGTCTAGTTGTTGCCACTCTGGAGGATCAATGGCAGTGTCCTTTTAGTGTACCATATCTGATAGCAATTCCACTTTTGTTGGAACGTGGCCCATGTTTACCAGTGTTCAGGTCAAGTTCAAGAGCCATGTTTTCTTTAGGAATTGATTCTGTATATGAGTTACTGTCAAATGATCATTCAGGAAGGTCTTCTAAGGCTGCTTGTGCATTCTGGAACTGCAAACTGGGGCTATTGTGTTGAAGTAGCCAGGTATAATCAGTATATTTAAGAAAACTAAAATGCTGAGAAACCAAGAAGTATGCTTGAACAAATTCATAAAAAATAACTAAACAATCTTAGTGGCAGTAACTGAGAATGAAATAATATTTTAAAGGAAAAGATAGGAGAAAATTGCAGAAGAGACGAAAAGTCATCACCATTATATCCTAGTATTCTGAAACTTTGTATTTCTGCTCAGGGAGTGAAACAACGCAGCTGACATCATATTTTAAATATTCAGATGTTAACTGAGAATAAACTTATTATAATACATACACATGAAGCAAAGCCCAACATCCTCACAAATTGTTTTTCTTTTAAAAATAAACATACACACACACACACACACACACACACACACACACACACACACACACACACAAAACTGCTGAGCCAGTTGCTCATTTTGGATTGAGCACATTTGTGAAAAATGTACAGCCATGAGGAAAAACTATGTAGCAAAGCTTTTGGAACATTTTTATTCACAGAACGTTTTGTTTCTGTATTTCTAAAAAAATCTCTTCATCCACTTAGGTTAACAGTTTCTGGTAACAATGGAAACCTGATTTTTGCAGAGCATAAATAGTACCTCCAGGTGTAGTCCACCTTTTCTTTCAATAACTAACTAGGATGTGGGAGAATTAATATATAAGCAGCCACAAAGATTTCATTATTTAGCAGTCATTAAAATGTGCCCTTTTAAGAGTCAAAAATGTTTCTCCAAATTCAGGCAAGCAATCTGTAAGCCAGACTTTTACTTGTAAAATAAGGCAAGAAAATAAATGCCAATAAGCAAGATTATTAGCAAATAAAATAAACACAAAATTAGATATTCAGGTGTTTATAAATTGGATCAACTTAGATTGTGGCTCTATTTCATTTTATAAGAATGTAATCTACCTAAGAAAAATTAGTATCCCTTATTATGCCCTTTGCACAGCTTGAAAAGGTTTAAAATTACTTCTATAAGCGTGCTTATTAACAGATATTTTGAAAGGTGGAGCGGATGTTAACTATCTGGGGAGAGCACAAAGATTGTTACTAACACTGAAAAATTTCCCATGGATAATACAAATTAATCTATTTGTATAAAAGTAATGTTTGAATTTTTAAGTCATTTCCAAACATATCATAATATACATCTCTGGGACTCACTGTACACACAGTATGTAATATCACTCTGCAGTATACTCATATGTCAGATTACTTGCTTGTCAAGACTACCTCAAATTTTATCATTACAAATCCAGCTTGGTTCCCAATAAGTACTATGCCAAGGATGTCTAGAATTCTCAAAAAGGGCCTGTCTGATATCCATGAGAAGAACATGATTTTCTTTTCCTCACTGAAAAAAGCACTTGGTCATCAATAGCTGACTAGATTATGTGCTTCTTGTCCATGTCTCCACACCACTTAAGGCTCAGAAAGTCTGTAAGGTACAAATTAATAGAGCCTGTGAATATATCACCTAGGCATCCACTTTTTTGGCTACTGTTAAGGAAGCAGTATCAGGCAAGTCAGATCTCTTGACCCTGTGCAGCATGGCTGTTCATAGGCACATTGATTATAATAGTCATAATCAGCATTTTCATAGCTCCGCTTTCATGTTCAATTTAAAAAAAAAAAAAAAAAGGCAAAATATCTGTGCAGATTGAGCTTCTTTGTAACTACACTTCTTAGTAAAGTGTATAAATGCTCCCAATCTTCTGCCTCTGTAATATGTGATTATTATGCTAGTTATCAAAAAATATGAAAAACTGAGGGCACCTGTAGTATTTGAAGTAATTATGGATGGGCACTGGCATACACTGAGGGAGGTAATAACTTGTAGGGTTTGAAAAATAAAGCCTTGAAAAATGTTTTTATTAAGTAGTAAGAACAGCCAATGTATGACAATGGTCTTTTTAAATCTTTTAAAAATCTTTTGGAATATGTTGTCTTATTCAATCAATGGATTGAATAATTCATCCTGATGTTTTCCCTAGCTGTATATATCATCAAAACAGTATCCTTACTTTAGGGTGCCTTGCTTTAGGTCTAGAAACTCAGAAAAATGTAACTTCTAAAAACTCCCATACTACCTTGTGTCAAAACTACATTTTAAACCTGAAATTCACCACACTGAAAAGTGGAAACATCCCATCAAAGAGTTCTTGCAATCTGTCTGACAGGATTTCATCTGTGGTGGCACATTCCAGTTGAATATGAATGCAAATCGCATCTTTCTTAACTACTTATACAAATGGATTTTTCAGTTGGCTATGAGGTGCTTATGTTGCAATCCTAGCAAATTGATTAATGACGTGGTTGATATAAGCCTTGGTTCACACAGAAAGCATCTGCAGATAAATAAATGAACCACCACTTGCCAACTTAAAGTAATGCATTTATGCCTTCTATCCTGTGCATGCTGAATGATGTCAGTAACAGTGAATCAACTGGGAACTTTACAGCTCCCCAAATGCCACATTCTGAGAATAATTTGTTAGCAATATTTCTAAAAGAAGTTTTTCAACCTCGGATCCTAATAATTTCCTAGGAAAAATCAAACTTAGAAACAAAAGTAACCTTGTGCTTTTTGAAGACATGAAAAAAGGCATATGAAAACAAGCAGTTTGTTAGAGAACTAAGTGTGGGAAGAAGTTGTAGGAGGAGGTGGGGAAAGGGTTGGTGAATGGTGCTAGTTGGGACAGAAGTATGTGCTTAACGAAACATCCCTCTATAGAAACAGCATGGGTTTGTGGTCTCCTTCCTTCCTAGAATTCATCTGTGTCTTGGTGCATAAGGGTAAATATGCGTTATGTGCAGCATGACGGAACAGAGAACTGAAGAAGTCTTAGCTAGAGCTCTCCAGCTTCATCACAGCTACATCACCATGAGTACTGGTGATAATAGCTGAGTTACAGGACTGAACCAGTTGCATAGTTCTAATCCCAAGGAACAAGCAGACAAGGGGCCATGGAAAGGACTATGCTTAAAAAGTAGGATGAATATGAATAATTAATTTTCAGGGAGCGCAAAATGATGTGATCATCTTCAGATTTTCCCCGTTTGTTGCTAAGCAGCATTCTTTAGTCACTAAAGTTTTGACTTATAAAATGAACAGCAGCCTCCGCACGTTTTGCTATTTTTACATTTTAAACTCTTCTTTTGCCAAGCTTTCATTATAACTGTATTTCAAAATGCTCTATGACAAAGTAAGATGAGCACCAAGGTATTTGCATTCCTTGGGAAAAGGTCTAAGTTTTCACCTGGTAGAAGCAGACCACAGACTAGAGGCAATAAATTAGAAGAGCCTTCATCTCCTATGTACCAAAGTTAGTGCTTTCTGCCTCTCAGGCCTGAGCTTTACATGAGAAATTGAACTTGCATCATGGAAAAGGCAAGAATATCATACATTTCGTTTTGTGTACTGATCATCAGTTTGAATTTGCATAAACAAAATCTCAGAATTTTTCCCATGGTGGTGGTGAATTAGTTATATTAATTCTTTTGATTTCTATTAAGGCTGTTGTTCTAATGACCAGACACTCATCCTATGTTCTGGGCATTCTGACAAAAGCTAAAAGTAACCAACTACTTCTCTGACAAATTATTCATTATAAGAAAAGGGCTGACTGCCAGTGTTCCAAAACTAAATACCAAACATCCCCACTGAAAATACCCTCTCCTCAAATGCTTTGAGGCATGACCAGAAACTTCACAAATCTTGGTTCTTATAAGACCAAGAGATGCAACTGACAGAGTTCAGGATAAAGAATTGCCTGCTAATAACCCATGCTTAGCTCCCAAGTTTCTGCAATGTAAGTGCACTACATTGGTAACTTGGTTAAATAAAATGAGTAATTATTTTAAAGTGAGTGTTAATTACCAGTTCCACATCTTTGATAGTCACAAAATGAACAAATTGTGAAGTACAGTAACACTGATAACCCTGTGGAGTATGTGATCTAAAGCAAAAGATATCTTCCAAGTCAGGAAGACAGGGCTTAGAAAGACAAAGAAAGACATATTCAATAGTCACAGCAGCTCCACTTCTACAGTTGCACGGTACAGAGGCAAACAGCTTTTGCAAGGTCTGCTAAACAGGCACCAAGGTGGTGATACTTCTTGCTAGTTCCTCTACTGGATGCCAATAAATAAGAAGACTACAGTAGGTACTGTCATAAGGGCTTTTTATTTATCATTAGCGAGAAGACTGAATGCTGGAGTCCTCTGCCAAACCACAGCATCTATCTTCTGCTCTCTAGAAAAATGTTTTCCAAAGGGATATACAGAAAGCTTCCCAGGCTGCATCTGCTAACTGCAGCAGCCTTTCCAGCCACACAGGGAACATCTACTTACTTCTCAAACAACTTGATCCAGTGGCCCAAATCCACACATTAGTCTAATATCTTTTCATGCCCTTTCAGACGCACCAACAATCACGGAAGCAGCAGTTCTATCTAGCCCCACCTTCTAGCTAATGATTCCTACTTTGAGCAACTGCATTGTTCTACCGCTGTTAAGGGCATTGCTGTTTAGGGAAAAGAGTGCTGCCTATGAAGTATTATTTTTGTTTCATAGAAATTAACATAGTATGTAAAACCTCTTACAAGCATCTTTACCAACCTGGGCATTTATATTTACCTACTTTCTGAGCATGGGTGTGGATAACGACAGGGTGAGGATATGTTGCAAGCCATTTTTTTGCTGTAAGGAGAGCCAGTAGTGCCTTTCTCCCTCTTTCTTGGTATACCTGGAGGAAAGAGAAGCAGAGGAGAGAGTATGAGACTATTATTTTCTTTATCTTTGTTCATCTCTTTTCCCCTCCAGCTGCTAAGTAAAAGGACAGGAAGCAGGCAACAAAAACTGCAGCCTATGGGTAGGCAGGCAGGCACCTGTTGCCAACTCAGTCTCATCCCTGCAAGCTTCAAATTTCTGCAAAACTGCAGGACTGCTGCTGAGACGTGAAAGAACAGCAGTTTCTGGCATGATTCCTATTGCTGAAAGGATGAAGCAGACAAGAACACAGGTAAGAGGCAGCAGGTATGGAATACTCACATGTTCAGGGGTGGGACTGCATCTACACAAGAGGGAAAATGGGCAGAAAGGCCTAAAGTAGGGAAAAGCATACTGATACTGGTACCCCACAGGAAGAAATAATCAAAAAAGGGATGCTATGAATAGGATTTAAGGAGAGAAAAAATGGAAAGATTTGGATAAACTGTATATTCAGACTATACGTACAGCTGGTAGATTGTAGCTAATCATTTTTGTTGAGCAGTACTTGACTCCTGCTTTATTCCACTGCTTTTTAAGAGATAACATGTAACATCTCATTTACACTATAAATCAAAAACTCAGTTTAAAAAAATAGAAGAAATAATTGTGTGTGGGAATAATTCAAAGAATGTGTGTACAGCTTCCACTCCCATACCATTAAAAAGTTATGAGGCACCTTAGTTATAATTGATGGTTATGACTGCTTTTTAATTAAAATACTATTATAATGACATGTGGATCACTATCACTGTTAAAGGCATAACAATTGCAGTCCTCAGTAATTTTTTTTAGATAAGAAAAGGTTTAAGAACAGTGTTCTAGTTGTATTTCTTTCCACTCTTTACATTGAATTTCAAAAGTTTGTGAATACTTGCAGTTTTTCAGAATCAAAAATATTTAATGAAGTCTCTCCTTTATGTTTATTGGTTGGTTTGTTTGCTCTTTAATCTGGGAAAAGTAAAAACAACTAGATAAGTTATGAAGCTTTTAACCTTTAATATCATTAACATTCAACCATCCAACACAAATGAAAATATAGGATTTAAACACCGTTAACAAAGTATCTATTTCTTATGACAGACTAGTCAAACTTCAGTGCAAGGCCTTCTATTTCAAAGTAATATAAATAACTTTGCTTTGTTAGTGCTAAAACCTAATGTAGTAACAGCCAATGTATGATTATGAATTATAATTTTTGTCTTAAATGTAACTATGTGTGACATTGTTTTCTTTTATGAGAATCTATATAAGAAATCATTATGAGAATATTGGCTTTTATTTTTTTCATTGAACCTGGGGCACAGCAAAAGTCACAGATTCCTCTCACTAACGAGTAATTGTTGAACAGTTTTAATGCATCTGTTGGCCATTTCTTTTTCTTCCTTCAGAAAACGGCACTTAAGATCATTCACAAAGTCATTGATGAAACCTAGCCGTACTGCATTCAATAAGGTCAGCATGACTAAAGTTGGCAACGGAGACTAAAACTGCAAGATCACTGCTTCTGGACATCGAGACCCCTTTTTATCATCACTGGGCTAAAATCACTGTAAGCTTCTCTAGAGAATACAATAAAATTATGGCAGAGATAAGGTCAGCTTACTGTTTCTGTAACATGGCTCTCTGAAATTAAAAAACTGTTTGCCAAAACAGTTTATCTAGTTTTTCTTCTATTTTAACCAGTTATCTGGTGGAAGATTTTTGTATTTTTTTGGTTTTGTTCTTAACTATTATGCTTTGATCTAAAGATAAATTTCTCTTTCAACTTCCTTAGCATAACGAAGATAAGAACGGCTCCTGTGTTTTCAACTAGAAGTCCCTCTAGACCAGCATCCTGTCCCCAAAAGGGGCCAAAATGGGAAACCTTATAAAAATGTTCCTATCTTTTGTTTCCTATTCAATGTTACCAGTTGTTCATCTGTGAGACAACCATCCCGTTTTAACTATACTTCCACTGTATATGAGCCTTTGTCACAAGGCTCATACACTGTATCAACAAGTCAGCTTATCCACTAATTGTTCAAAATAACTAAAAAAGACTTGAGGCAGGACTTCTCTCTATGATTTCCCTGCTGACTCTTCTAAACTATGTTATGTTTGTTTATTTATTTATATACTAATTTTATTTTTATTACATTTCTATCTTGTTCCCCAGACAGTAGTCACAGTTACTGGTTTCTTTTCTCTGGATTTCCCTTGCCACATACACCAACTCTTACTTCTCAGGCCTGATTTAACTGACTCCAAGGCCAATTTAAGCAAGAGTTCACACACCACAGTTAATAATTTGGCAATGTCATATTTGACTTCCTTTTGCTATTTTATTTTCTAGTCTTGCTCAATGCACCAATATGTTCTAAAACCTTTTCTACTGACAATTCAAATTGAGACTGTTCTTTAAACTCACTTTTTTCTCACATAGAGAAAAGTTCTAGGACCTTTTTAAGTTCCTCTGTAAGGAACATAAATGTTAAGTTGACCTTTTTTTTTTTTTTTTCTCCCTATGGCCTTATTTTCCTTAAGGTCGTCTTGTCCACCTTGATCCTCCATCAGCTCTCCAAATTCTGTAACAAGTTTCATGTTTTTTACATTTGTACTAATTTTTATCTTTAGTCCTTGTTCATGTACCTAGTGATTATTAATCTCTGAACCCATTTCCCTGGAATACAAACATTACCAATTATGTGGCACAGAAGAATTTTTATTATGCACATAGTTAGACATCTTTCCTAGAAATGTGCTTTAGTATTCATTGATTAGCGGTTACCAATGTGAAAATATAAATTTCTTTGCAATTTTCTTTGCAATCTTTGTAGAAAGAACTCTCTCTCACTTTTACAGCGCGTAGCATGTTTTGTTATTCCTATCTTGATCTAAGGCCTTTTAAGTACTACTGGACGACAATAATTACCATTTATATACCAAGAGTAGCCATAGTAAACCAGTTCTCATTCTATTTTTGAAATAACTTGCTCAATTGTAAGCCAACTGCGCTACCATTCTGTAACTCCTAAAGTTACAAGCCAAAACTGTGATATTTACTCAATAAATTCTGCCAGGAAATGAAATATCCCACAAAAAGTGTGTAGTTGCCATTATTTAGTTTGGAAGCCAAGGCTAATGACTGCATTTATTTTTCTGCAGGTAGTGCAAATCTTGGAGGACATAGCCTGCCTAGAATGATGAAAGAGCACAGATGATACATATTTGCAAAGGCTAAGATACTTCTGCTTGAAGACGTAGCCAAAGAAATGGGCACTTATCTCTTTGGAAAGCAAAAATAAGGTAACAATGTCTGCAATTTTACTAGAAATTTTTTTCTATACCTTCCTTTTCTCTTTGGACGTGATCAAAATTCGCTAAAAGTACATCATTTCTGCAATCATTGCCTGTATTTGAATTTCTCTTAGGCTTTAATGTTAATTGTTCTTTTGTAGACTGTGGGTACTCCATGGATATGTTTGAAAAACTGGAATTAGTTTGTGACAAAAATATGTGGAGCAGTGGAGAATCATTATAAAATGCTCTTCTGATTTGATGGATTTTAATAATGTTTAATGAAACCCTTTAATAGGGTTAATCATTTAATAACAAACACTCATGTTGAGCCAAAATCCCAAACCCTATGTACTAACTGGAACCTGAGCAGAGAAGAAACAAAGCAAATGGCTCACTGGTATTCTTGGGTAATGGCAGAAATACTCTGAAATGCTTAATTTCTGCAGAAATTGATGTTATGGCTATGAATATATGATTTTCAGTGCTTCAGTGAGGGGATATTTTCCAGATGTTCTAGAGCAGTATTTAACGAATTCTTAACAGCTTCTTTAAGATATTCTTTATATCTTTAAATAAAAATACAATTTTCTTACTGTTTGTTATGTTTAATATATAAATCAATATAACATTTCTATTTGTACAGAAGTGTAACTGTATGATACAGTTCATCTGAGTAAGCGCTAATTGTGGTTGGCAAGGTAACCCACGAATAAAAGCTCATCTCTGAAGCTGAAAAAATTGGGCTATGTTTTAAACAAAGTACCTCAGTTATTTGTGTTAGAACATACAGACTTGAAGTGCTTTCTTCATTACGAATGAACCTCACAATGCCTGAAGATTAGGATTTAAAAAAAAAAAAAAACCCTTACTTGAAAATGTACACTAACATTTTTAAAAATTCTTCATTAGAGTTCACAGGGAACATGGCACTTTTAAGTGTTGTAAATGAATCTCCTCCCCAGAAATGCTAGAGTGATTCTTTTGTATAGTTACCAAATACTTATATATCCAAAGCAGAAAAATAGATAGGAGCAGCTGCAGAACACAGGCACTCTAAGACAATGCCTTTTTAAAAACAACAGTAGCAAGTTATTATTGATAACTCGTCAATCACTTACACTGGTTATTACATTAATAGCAGTCAAACTCCACGCTCATATGCAGCTGCATATACAGGCAAGAGTAACAGCAAGACACTGTTAAATAATATCTCTTGACAATTGAACATGCATCTTCTCTTGATCGATCTATGTGCAGACATGTTGGTCTAGCAGACCTGTTGTAAAACTACTTTTTTCTGTTATGCTTGGGGAAAGAACTGCTTGAAAGCTTTTGGAAAAAATTCAAATGACTGTGAGCTGTCAGATGTTATGTAAGATTTTTACAGCTACTACATCTCAGACAAGTATGCTGTTCAGTTCACTATACTGGCCTGTATTTGATATGACTTTGAAATGTGTAAAAAATACCCAAAACTATACGGGTAGGTTAGATAATTTTTGTGCCAATTTAAAATTAATTACAGAATACTTTTAATGTATGCTTTAAGTAATGAATTGTCTTTAATGCATAATAAATCTGAACACTATGTGTTAAATTTCTAGACCAAGCAAATTCCTTAAGTAATGCTTGTACTAGGCCTGAAAAGCATCTATAGTATCTGAATACTTTCAAAAATTTTTTTGTATTTGTCATTAAATAAACAATCCTTTCCTAAAATGTAGAGCTTACAACTGCATGACAAAATACTTATTTTTTATAAACCACAACAAATATTCAGATTTGTACATTAAAATGAATTTTAAAATATTTATACTGTACCACTGGTCTGCTTTTCTCTTTTAGCAGTTTATAACAACAGGAGATTAGTTTGGAAGCAGCAGAGGGAAAGTTAGGTCCATATTTTTGGACAACAGCATTACTCTATCGGTTAAAATCATTTTACCTCTGTTTGTTAAGCTTAGTTTTATTGTAAGTAACGGAATACGAAGTTTATTGTTATTCTTGGAGGCAAAGAGTGGGTTCTGAGGCTGAACTTCTCTGTAACGAGAAGGAAGTGTTGTATATGTTCACGCCCAAGACAGGAAAGGTGGTGCTGAAAAGACAAGAGCTATTGTGTTGAGTTGGACAATTTCCATGTAGTGATTTTACAGGAGAAACTGTTTCAAAGTAGTTATAGTAGTTATTTGCTTCTTTAAATGCATCTTCCTTTTCATGCACTGGCTAGTATCACTGTATTTTGTTTAAAAAAGCCCAAATACCCTCAGAAGATGAGTATCAGCTGTGTTTGATGCCAACCTTTAAACCCACCTTTTTCTCTGATACTTTCTTTTTCAGGGTGTTGGTACTCAGATGTCCGGTAACATGAACCATGTCTGTACCATTCTAATCAGTTAATTGATGATGCTTTAGTATATGCGGCAGTTGAAATAACTTCAGTCTTTTAGAATAATCTAAAGTGCGTTGTGACATTAAAAAGATTTCACAGCTCATAGGTTAAGTACAAAGTATCTGTCAGGCTACTGAGACTAACCTATATTGTTCACTTTTATCTAATGCTTTCCCAATGGTTGTTTCCTCATATTCTCTACAAAACACTTAGTATAGATGTAATCTGCATTTCTGCAATAATTATGTAGACATTGGTATTTTCCTTCTTATTTACATGATAGAGTTATGAATAAAATGTTACTGGCTGTGTGGGATCATAGCTAATTCTTTTTTTCTCAGTTTGAAATGTATTGAGTCCTTTGGCTAGCTTAAAGGAAAAAAAGGTGAAGAGGCAGACTGAACTTTGTGTAACCTCTCCCTAGCAAAGGGATTTCTTGTGTTTTCAGGAAAACAGAAAATAAGGCATTCTTCATAATGGAAGCCATTCCAGTAAGATTAATAAAGCAAATACTCCTGTCATTCAGTGTACTTAAAGAAGAAAAAAAGTCATAACCTAATTTCTTTGGCTATTTATCTCTCTTCTCATCTTCAGTGCCTTACATACCCAAAATTGCTGCTACTACAACTTAAAATTATACTTTTTTTTTTTTTTACTCAGTTACTTCAGGTTTTCTATACACTGTTGAACTTGTAGATGGGGATGTTTTGTTTAGTCATTAGTTTTCTTGGAATTCCCAAGACCAAGTATTTACTCAACATATTTAAAAATTTAAGATTCTATATGAGAGGGCAGCAGCAAAGATTTAGTAATTTTGAAGGACAATATACAGATAAAGTATATAGATACAGATAAAGTATATAGATATAGTATATATATACCTATAGTATAGGTAAAGTCTACCATTACTTATTGGAACGGTGCATTAGAAAGGAAGGGATGAAACAAAGACAATTATATTTTCAAGCAGGAACCAAATAGAGTTTAGCTCTTAGTAGCAACATCAGGTTCTAAGTGGTCACTTGGATGATTTGATGAATCCTCCTTGATTTGTCCTTAAAAACTGAACGTAAAAACAGAGGTGTTAGTTGAATCCCTGGTTTATGTTAAAACACAGATAATTAGCCAATATTGCTGAATAAGGATCAGTTTGTAAATGTCTTCAATTAACTCTTACAAACTTCTGACCACGTTAAAGGCATTTTTCAATGGAAAAAGGCCTTGAACTAAAGATATTCCAATAGTTGTCTATTGCAAAGGGTTTTTTAATTGCATCAGTCTTACCTACTTCCTTGTTAGGGATATCTCTATTGCCTTTTCTGCTGCTTTTGTCAATAGCAATAGCTTTTAGGTCTGCTGCAATAATTTGTCCTGAATTTGGTATATCGATTACACCATTTTTCTCAGTTTGAGTACATGATATTTGGACATCTATTGAATTAATAAGTTTATCATTTTGCCTTAGCCTCAGAAGCTTTAGGACCTTCTTCAAAGAATGTAATGGCAAAGCATCAACTGATTTAAACTGGTGCAGAATTGAGATCTTAATCTCTGCACCATTATACAACTTTGTTGCATTTTCTTAGAAATCTGAAGTTTCAGATCTAGAATGATTGTATTCAATTTCACCTTAACTGTTTTGTAATTCTAATTTGATTTATTAAATGCTACACATGAAGTATTTATTTGTAGCTGTTTGCATCACTGATTTTAACAGTAGGCTCACCTCTGAACTATTTTATTCAATGGATGACAGAAGTAAATCATTAAAAACTATGAGATCTTTACGCAGCTTGTTGCTGAGTTTCCAGGTCATTGCTATTTCTAGTTTATTTCTGAAATTGGATAAAATCCACATAGCTAGTTGTAATTTAGAGGAATATGAAAAATATGTATCCCCTTTGAAGAGCCAAACCAAATAATAATCCCTTTCAACACCCCAAAACAATTCAAAGAAGTAATTCTTTAATTCTTTGTAGGCAAATGCTTTGACATTTAATGAAGTATATCCCAGTGCTGTTTAACATTTTAAAATTATAAGAAACTAAAAATTGGCTTTTTCGTTCACGTGCACGTTCTCTTTGCCTGCCGTATCGCTGTTGAGTAAATGCACCGAAAAGCATTTTGGAGCAGAGGAACCATCTTCTATTTTGTAACCAAGTAGCATAAGCAGGTTGCGGTCTCCTAGCAAGCTCCTTGATAACTAGCAACTTGCAAATAATAAATAAAGCCGTATTCGTGCATTCCACCCAGTGGCAGCTCCGTTTTTAAACTGCGAATCAAAAAGAGCACGGAGCAAGAACAAAACTGCACAGCCACGGGCCGGCTGCTGTCTGCTGCTGACA